TCAAAAAGGAAAGTTTTAAAATTGTGAACGTAAGGACCACTAGATGCGCTGAAGCACCACCGTCCATCTTTACTTCCCTAAACATAGAGCACGCTCGCTGCATGTCGCTTCACTTCGTCCTCTACTGCGTATGCAGTTCACACAGATCACGTACAAGTTGCATTTATTTGGAAATGTGAGCGACCGCGCAGAAGAATCTGATTTCACAAAAACATCGGAATCGAGCATTAAGGCCTGCAGTGTGAAACTTAAACCCAGATCTTTTTAAAAACGTTTTAATCGATGGATGAGCTAAATCTGCAGATGATTCAGATAAATACATTTTAGATTTTATTTGGAAAAACACAACAACAACAGCAAAAAAACATGGATTATTTCAATCAGGGTCACAGAATACAAATAAAATATGGTTTTTGATTTCACCAGGTGCTCAGTTTAGATCCACTCTGTGACCTCCTTCTCCTCTTCTCTCCCAGATCCAGTCCCCAAGTTGACGGGAACTCCTTTCCCTCTGCATCCTCGTCCCCCGTGTCTCCTTCCAGCCCCAACCTGGAGGAGCGGCGGCGGCCCGGCACCCTGTTCATCTGGCAGGAGAGGGAGCGACTCCAGCAGCAGAGGGAGAAAGCCAGGTAGGCCATGAATAATGGAGGAAGCCCAGGAAAGCCTCCCTGTTTGGGGACTAACTAAAAGTTTCAGCTCCCTTCATCCTAAAAGCGCTTTATTTTGCAGTTTGCTGAAGTCGAGCTCTAAATCTGGAAGTAATGCAGCCTCTGCGCCGCAGACAGGAAGCAGCTCATGGTGGGTCGACCCCGAGGAGCAGAGAAGCTCTGCCTCCCTGCGGTTTGTCATCAGCTCCTCTTAAGTTTCAGTGTGAAAGACGTGAATAAAGCCTGGTGTATGTCTCCCTCTAGTGGTGGATCTCCAGAGAACGGCAGCGCTCCTTCAGGCCTGCGTCAGAGATGTGCGGTGAGACGAGTCCTTCCCATCAGAGGGATTTTAGAGGGTTTAAGGAAACGTCAGCCGCTCTACTGATCCTTTTCTGTGTTTGTTGGTTGTTAGAGCGCCGACCAGATGAGCACAGGATCCCCGTCTGCGGCTCTGCATCGCTCCAGCAGCAGAACAGGTGTGGCTCCTTCTTCTTCATGAAAATAGTTTTTTTTTAGGTGTGAATGGTGGTTTATAGCTATTAATAAACCTCAGGAACGTCCCAAAAAATTAGCCTCCTATGAAAAAAACACAACAAAACGAATAACTCTTCATTATTATAGAAAAAGATAAAATAATTGATCATACAGAGATCAAGGCGAGACTTCACTGAGCTGTAGGGCTGGGTAAAAAAAATCGATTTAATCGATTTGGAATCGATTCCTTTACATTTTTGCAAAATCGATGTCCAGGGAATGAGATCCATTCGTTTTATAGTGACGCGCGTGACGTTCATGTTCAAATGAGCAGGAAAGATGCTCTCAAGATGACTTCAAGCCAGACAGCTTCACTTTTCACAAACAAGTTTGCACTTTTGAGACAGTTTTGTTCACATCTCAAGTTTAAATTGTCTGATTTACAAGTTTGCACTTTGTGTTTAATATAAGGGACCAACATAAATTTAGACACTGAATGAAGGAGTGAAAAAGGCATTTTAAAGGTTTGTTATTTCTTTTGAATAAATTATGGTAAAATCTTCAGGGAGAGCCCAGGCCAAAATAACAAACAAAACAACCCTAAAGAAAAAAGAAAGTGGAATTACCTAACTCAATATGAAACCAAACCAACACATTAACGGGAGAAAACTGGGGTTAAACAAAAGGGCAGCTCTCCCCTACAAAAACCATCCAAGCATGTTTGCAATCTTAACAGCCCTTTTTAGATTTTAAATTTAAAACAGAGGTGTTTGGCAGATAAATGGCTAAAAAAAAACAGCCATGAAGTACTGCTTCACATGCCTTTAATAGTCTTCAGGTGATCTTCATTGGACCGAGACTCAGAAAGCAGCAGCCAGTCTTAAAGGCGGAGCCTAAAAGAGAGCAAGGCGTTAATTGGATGCAAGAACAAAACATCCATCCATCTTGGGGATGTAACACCCCTATTTAGGCAGAGGAAAGGCACATTTAAAATATTTAATCTCACAAATAGGCTAAGAAAAAATATCCTCAGCTGAAGGACGCCGCTCTCATTCCATTCCCAAATGTTTGCCACGTGCAAAATGAAGATTAGAACTGTATATAGCCGGACCGAGGAACCGGCCTAATTAGATAAACTACTGGGGGGGAAATCAGTTCTGATAAGCAACAGGCAGCTAATATTAAGGTGGAATAAACTCACACATCATCAGTGATAATTCAGGGTTCCTGCAGATCCTTAAAAAGTCTTAAAAGGCATTGAATTCTTCAATATAAAAATAAGACCTTAATTAGTATTAAAATGTCTTAAATCAGTCTTTTATAGGTCTTAAAACTGTCACCAAGTCATAAATAGGATTTTATTTTTGTAATTCATAACAAAAACTTTTACATTTAAAGAACGGATTAGCTTGAACCATTATTAGTTCCATCCTGAGTGCAGAAGCAATAAAAACCATGTTGCAAACAGACCTTGGGTTGATGCGCCAAAAACGTGTGGAAGTGGAAATTCAATGAAAATTGTCTCTCCAGCCAAGAGTTTTCTGCATGGATTAAAAACAGCAGGTGATGTATATGAGGAATGGCGTATTTTGAGCGAGAAACCATTCAAGCTCGGCACGTTGGGAATCAAAGCTTTGGACTCAGACATGTGAAGAGTTAAAAA